ATAGCTTTGTAGCATTGGGCAAAGTATTCGATCTCTCACATATCCAGGTTTTTTTAAAAGTAACTTTTCAATTGTGGTTGGCACTGGGCTAAGCACTGGCCTGCATGATTTCATTTATTTGTCTTGACCATTTCAGTAGATATTACAAGCAGGAATCTGTGTATGAAAATCATGAAGCAATCATTCCAGTTCCACTCAAACCATAAGTGGTAGGTCTAGAACTTCAAAACAAGTCTATGGTCTCAAAAATGTTGCAATGCTGTTACACAAAAGAAAATTTACCAACTTTGGAATGATCCAATAATAATGAAAGAACACACATGGAAATCATACAGAAGAAGGACTTCCCTACAGAGGCACAACCAATTATGCTTATTGTATAATATACCAAAGGACTAAAAGACACGCTCTGAACTTGCCAGGAATCTACCAACTAGATAAAGGCTTTCTTATTCTTCTGAGCTGAACTCTGAAGCAACAATAGTAAACGTCATATCAAAACCGCTATTCCGCTCACCAGCCCAAAGCACTGCATTCATTTCTACAGAAATCACCTTTACATTTGAGAGGGCAGCCAACCCCACACTACAATCTAATCCTCCCTGGTATTATTGCAAAGTACACAAACTTTGGTCCCAGCTCTTGTCATGACTAGGATGCCTCAGCCTGACTTATGAATGCTAGAGAGCAGCAAGGAACTCAGCATAAATACAGAACTGTTCAGTTACCTGTCAGGAGACAGAGCTCAGTCAAGCACTACTTCCTTCTGAGTCTCAGAAAGGCTAATTCTGAATGTTTTCTATAGAGTTTTAATTTTTATATGCACAAATAAGTGTGCACATGTTTGTGTGTGTGTGTGTGTGTGTGTGTGTGTGTGTGTGTGTTGTGGGGTATAGGCTATGAAACAAGGAAGGGGCCATGAGAGAGGAAGAAGGTCTTAGGGAAGGGTTGGGAAAAGAAAAAGAGGAAAACAGAAAGAGTAACAGAGCATTGGTGACATGAAGCAAAAGGCTGAGGGGGAGTAAAGGGACCAGCAGGAGGCAGGCGGGACTGAGGGAAGACAATCAGCCAAAAGGGATGAAAACCTCATAATGAAACCCACTACTTCGTATACTGTTTTAAGGAAACTAATGAAAGTGTCTAAGAAATAAATAAGATTTTAAAAAATTTTCTTTTTCCACATATGAAATATGGTAGTCTGATTGTCATGGAAAGAAACTGAAAGATTTAGAGGAAGTTTTCACTGGTGGTTATATATGAGTAAAGAAACACAGAAATGCAGAGTTACACCACGTGGGTGTTCGATGGGACAGTTCTGCTGAATGGACAGGGCAAAGGCAAGGGACACACACTCACAGGACAGAGAGGGAGCTAAAATTGCTCTGCCTGCTTTGGGAATAAGCTTGCCCACTGGCTCCTTATATGTCAGCGCACAGGACCGCAGACAAGACTTGCTAAGACTTTCAGCACTGTTAACAGGTTAGTTTGTGATTTTTTGTAATCAGTTAAGCCCTGGGAAATTTTTGTAAGGCTTGACACCTTTGTCTGTGTTGTTAGGGATTAGTTGCACCAATAATGTCATTGTCACTGAGATGTCCAGCTGTCCTGTTCTGGGCTTCTGCTTTTCCACAGTGAAAACCCCGTTCCTTAGAAGCTGTCTCAGGGCTATACCCTGGCTGTTCGCATGGTCTTCAGAATTAGGGAAAGTGATGTCTCCGTCTAGCACATTAGAAATAAAAAAAGTAGTCTTATGGAGGTTTTGATGTTTGAATTGGGCAGATTCTGAACTATGTTCTATGGTACCTGGCATACATTAATAACAACTAAACATATGTCAACTTTACTTTTTCTTAGAAAAACTTATCTTTCCTTCAATGTCCACATCTGTGGCTCATGTCTGCTTTATTTTCTCTCCATGTGGATTTGATAATAGAAGCTTCTAGAAAACTTAACCATCCATTCTGTAGAGCTAGTCATTATTTTTCCTACCCTCCTAACTATAGCAGGGCAGTCAGGGTCTTGAAAAGAACACAGACACGATTAAAAATAAATATTGTGTTCACAAGACGTCTTGAAAGTTTGCTTCATTTTCCCTTAATCAGTTAAAAAAAATGCATCTTCTTGTTATTTGCTCTTGTTTCTAATAAGACGTCAAGCATTTGTTTCTCAGAGCAGAGGATATGAATTTGTTATGATAAGAAGATTTTATTGTTGTTTTCATTTCAATGAGTTCTCTAGTTACATATCTGCCTTCTTCCTGCCTGGAATTCTATCAAAACAAGAGTGGTGGCCTGATGGAATTCTTTGCTCTGAATTATCTTTGCTGATTTTTAGTTTGGGGACCTAGATAAAAGTCAAAATGATCAAGTGATTTAGACATTATTGTATAGGAGCATATGTGAGGCCTTTCACGTCTTTCTAAAATCAGTTTATATATATATATTTTTTTTTTCTTAAGAATGAACTGAATCCTTGAACAGAGGTCAAAGCCTGGAGTTTATATGTTATTTTTATTTTATGTGTATGAGTGTATTGTATTGCCTGCATGTATTTAAGTGCACCTGTGTCATGCAAGGTCCAAAGAGGTCAGTAGAGGAATTTGGACTCCCGTGGAACTGGGGTTACATATGGTTGTTAGCAGTCTTGTGGGTGCTGGGAATTGAATCTGGGTGTTCTGCAAGAGCAGCCTGTGCTCTTAATCACTGAGCCATCTATCAAGTCCCCAAACTTTATATCTTTTAGTATTTGTTTTATTAAACTGAGAGTTCAAAGGTTCTGTTTAACATATAATATATAACTTGCAAAATTTATTTA